GTTAAATAAGACACTATAGATAAAGTGTCCATCCCAAATGCGTGCAGAATAGGTGAGGAGTGACAGTTCTCTCCGGAGTTTCTCTTCCTCGTCTTCCTTCCTAGTGGGAACACTTTCTTCTTCTCACTATACCTGACTATGTGGTGGGGGTACTAAGGCTTGAAGCCAGGGCCTAAGTCATTCAATTCCTTAGGCTGCCCTTGAGCTTGAGATCAGCCTTCTCTTAGGCTCTAGGGTGCTGGGACATAGGAGTGTGTCACTACCCCTGGCTCCAGGACTTGCCCCTTCTTGAATTCACAGGTGAGACTCACAGGTGCATCCCAACATCTGCTCTACCCACAAGTAATTGGACCAAATCAAGGAGGGTGATTTCATCAAATCTGCCCATGACTGACAATGTGACCCAAGGTACTCCGCGTCACCGTCCAGGAAAGGAAGACAAAGAACATTTATTCCTTAGTACACTCCTGCTTCTGGGTGTGGCAACTGGACTGATAGCTCCAACCTGTTATCTCCGAGCAACTGTCCTGAGGGCAAATCTTGCACCACAAAAGCCAAACTGAGACAGAGACCTGAGCCCCAGTGCAATTGTGAAGCCAAGGTAGAACATAGCTGAAAGCCGGTTGCCCCACCTCTAGGGGTGCCCAGGGCGATTGAGACTGGCTGTGGTGTTGCCCCAACAATCCTAGCTCTTGGGAGGCTGTAAACAGATGGATCACTACAAGTCCATCTAGTAGTGAGACCCTGAACACCCTGTAGACCCTTCCTTAAAGAAAAAAAATAGCGTTTTAGAACCCAGTACAAAAGGGGGTGGGAGGGATTCACCCACAATACTTTCTAATTATTGTTCAAAACTATTGGGGCCGGGGAGATGGCTCAGTGGAATAAGTGCTTCCCTGGCAAGCACAAGGGCCTGGTTCAATCCCCGGTCCCACCAAAAAAAAAGCTTTAAATTACTAAGTTGCTCGGGCTGGGCTTGAACTGTGTTCCTCTTGCCTCAGTCTCACTCTGCTGGGAGTACAGGCATGTGCCACCACACCCACTCTGAGCCACTTGGTGCAGTGTGACCCAGTCATTCCTGCACATATTTCCTAAAGTCAGGTGAGCATCGAAGTGGAGCAGAGTCATCACTAGAGGGAATCTTGATGTCAGCAAGTTCTCCCAGGACAGCTAAGAGTGCCTCTTCCTTTTAGGGGTTCTCTGGTTTCCCTAGTCTGGATTTGGGTTAAGTACCTAGAATGAATTCCCTGATAATAATGCTAGTGATGATGAGAATTCCTTGAAGCAGGAAATATCTTCTAGGAAATTAGAAGTACTGCTTGCATGTATCTCATTTATCTTCACAGCGCTGGAGAAGGCAGAGAAAGGGTGTTTGACCCACTCAAAGCAGAGTTTACTGAAGCTTGGAGATAGGAGGTGCTAGGTCTCCTGGTACTTACAGGGAAGGAAAATGAATTCTGGTGAGGGAGCTGCCCAGCCAGGGCAGTTCCAAGGAACTGTTTTTTGCTGCTACTGCTGTTTATATGGGTAAGTGTGCTGGGCACTGAATTCAGGCCCTTTGCATTGAGGTACATGCCCAGCCTTTTTAAATTTTTATTTTGAGACAGGGTCTCAATATGTTGCTAAGGGCTGGGGAGATAGCTCAGTAGAATAAGCACTTGCCTGGCAAGTGCAGGGTCCTGAGTTCAATCACTGGTACTAAAAAAAAAAAAAAAAAATGTTGCTAAGTTGCCGAGGCTGGAGCAAATCAAAAAGGGCTCAGGCTGTAGCTCAGAAGGAAGACCCCAGGTTGGATGCACAGTAACACACACACACACACACACACACACACACACACACACACTGTGATGCTATTTTCTATTTTGATCTACCTTCAACTTTAATTCTTTCCATTAGTGGCCACTGACCCAAGACATACAGGATAAATGTTACCAGGTCCCATTACTGGGGAGCCTGCACCCTAGGGCAGAGCAGCAGGCACTGTGTCTCCAGTGGTGATTGGGTGAGGGGGTGGGAGTTTTATAAGAACATACTTTCTAGGGGCCGGGGAGATGGCTCAGTGGAATAAGCACTTGCCTGGCAAGCGCAAGGGCCTGAGTTCAATCCCTGGTTCTACCAAAAAAAAAAAAAAGAACATACTTTCTAGACCTGAGTCAGACAGAGGAGAACCTGCGGGATGCAGAGACCCACATGGGACACCTTCTGGGGAGCCCAGAGGTCCAGGAAGGGGAGGAGCCACGTTGAAAACCCGTCTCTGTGTGTATGTGTGTGGGGGATACACATGTGTTCATTGCAGAATCATATCCCACTGCTGAATCAGGAGCTCTGTGGGACTTTTGTCCTACGGGATATCGTGTTCCTGGAGCCTTCATATGTACACACATAACCACAACACACAGCAGCCATGCCGTCAGTCATGAGCCTCCTCCCCTCCTTCTGTGTGCATCCTCATGCCCATCCTCAACCTCAGTGCACCCCTTTTTGTTCCTGAAGTGTCTCCTTGTTTCTGTTACTCCACGGTGTCATCTAGTTTGGCCCTCCATACACACACCAACACACTGCCCACTCGGGCCTGACTCAGTTACTCTAGGGCTGCAAATCACACCCAGCCTCCTACCAGAGCATCTCTGACAGATGTGTCACCGCGCAGAAGGGCCTTAAAGAACACCTCAGCTGAGGAAACTGAGGCCTAGCTCCGGGTATGACTTGGCCAAAGTATGTAAATAGCCAATGATAGGATCAGAACCATGAGAAGGCGCCCAGAATCCTTTACCTGGTTTCCTGAAATTCCACATCTGAAGGCACAAAAAATGAGTTTGACTGAGGTTGGGGGTCCACTGAGCCTGCACAGTGCCTTCCAAGAGTCTCCTCTTACTTTGGGGTCTCAGAACGTATGATTTTTGTCTACTCATTCAGCAAAAATTCCAGACATACCCCCCACCACGTAAGCAAGCATATCTATGCTGTGTCAGTGATGGGGATACAAGGACATCTGGGGCTTTGGAGAGTGGAAGTGTCCTGCCAGGGATGATCTGAGACGGTGTGAGTGAAGAGTATGCTTTGGGCTTCAGACCTTGGGAGGCAGAGTCAGCTGAGTAGGGGGAAAGCTCTTGGGATGGAAGGACAGGCACACAGGAAGGTGAGGAGACAGTCGTTGCTACCAAGTGTGTGTACTTTGCACAAGACAGGGATTTTCACAACAAATCTATAATCTACAAATTCAGTCATTTAACAAAAAAAAAAATTATCGAGTACTTACTATATGTGCAAGTCTTAGATGTTGGAGCAACATTTAGGAACAAAACAGACCAAGTCCTCCACCAAGAAAAGAGGAAAACGAATCCCTGTCCCCAGGAGAGTATGTTGTGGGAGGTGTCGCCCTGATTCCCACGTGAAAAACCAGAGGTCCGGGGAGATTAAAACATCACCGTCAATACTGAGTGCCAAGATTCTGAGAGGTGGAGGCAAGAGGGTCACAAGCTCAAGCTGAGCTCTGGTGCTTAGGGAGAACCTGCCTCAAAATTAAAAAAAAAAAAAAAAAATTAAGAAGGGATGGGAATGTAGCTTAGTATTGAGGCCCTGGGTTCAATCCCCAGTACCAAAAATAAATAAATAAAAGATGAAAATAAAACAAAAAGCTAAATTTGTGTTCTTCTTAAACCCTTTGCCATTCTGCCCTCCAGGAGGCCTGGGATTGAAGCTTGGGGTCCTCAGGGCCAAGTCCAGAAGGCTGCAAGGATCTCCTGTAGGGCTTTGATTGCTTTTTTTGGTGTGTGTGTGTGTGGCACTGGGGATTGAACTCAGGACCTTGTGCTTGTCAGGCAGGTGCTTTGTGCTTATGCCACTGAGCTATATCTCCAGCTCTACAGGGTTTTGAGAAGGGATTGGTAGAAACAAAATGACTTCCTTCTCTGGGCTGTCTCTCACCCCACGTTCTCTTATGCCTCTATAACCATAAGCACTCCCTCCACCCCTCACCCCCACGTGGGCCCTTGCCCTCAGCACCTGACACACACCCCTGCCCTCCCTATCCCCACTAAGTCTTTGTCTGCAGGCCCAAATGTGTCAGCTCCTGGCCCTCCTGGCTCTACTGCTAGATGTCACAAACGATGGTGGCAACGGATGCCGCTAGGACTCCAGGGAGGATTCACGGCTATATGGGAAGTAGTAGGCCGATGCCTTCACTGGGCCCCTGCCATAGAGGAGGAAAAGTTGGTTTGAAACTGGGACAGGAGTGCCAGGGTTTTGGGCCAGTCTGGAATCCTGCTGTGGAGAAGTCAAAGGTCCAGAACCCAGAAGCCCCACCTTTCCTTGGGGCAAGGTGGGGGGGGATGGTACCTTACTGGGGAAGGGAAAACTGGTGAGTTAGAAGAGGGTTTCTCAAGACTGGGGGACATGCATAGAAAGGGCTGCAGGAGGGGAAACGCAGAGAGGAAAACCGAAGCAGCAAGAACGCAGTGAAGGGAAGGGAAGGGAAGGGAAGGGAAAGAAAGGGAAGGGAAGGGAAGGGAAAAGAAGGAACAAGATGGGGAAAGCCGGAGAAAGGGAGAGAGGGCTCGCTGCCGACCCGCCGGCCGGCATCTGATGGAAACTGGAGCGGACAGTCGCGCCGGCCGAGCTCTCGGGCGCGGGGAGGTCCGCGGGGCCACAGCTGTCAGCGGGAACAAAGGCCGAGCTGCGCCGGGGACCAGGCAGCCGGCAGCGCCGGCCAATCAGCGGCGCTGGCGCTGGCCCCGCCCCGC